ACACACACATATGTACACACATATGGATGCTTTTGATACGGACCATAATGTGATAATAATGAGGGCCGATAACACAAATGCATTCCCAAAAATTAAAAAGCTATTGCGCGGCGTAGAAATTCTGGTGATCCTCGTCTATCTCACGTCGGCCATCGTGCGGCTTCCGTCCGCCGTCAAATTCGCCGGAGACTATTTCCGGCGGCTCGCGCTCTTTGTAGTTAGTCCTCTGTTCATCTTTTTAATAGGAAATATAATAGTCCTCATCCTCTTCTTCAATTCTCGCAATCAATTACCTCAACATGACGGCGATGATGAAATGATTGATCGATTAATTACCGCCGATTTCAATTTTTGCCCTGAACTCACGAAGAACGTCCGAGGTGAACGGTCAACGCCTCTCGCTCGTACTGGTCAACGCTGCGAAAAAAATGTTTTCCGAAACAAGGAAGCTGTTTCGGAGGTGAAAACCGAATCAGCCAGTGAAGTTTGTCGACCGGAGGGAGACAAAGGTTGTAATAATTGTGGTGGTCGTCGCCGGCGGCGAGTATTGGCGGCGGCGGCGGGCGGCGGCCGGCAGGTGGAGGGACTGAGCAACGAGGAGTTCAAGAGAGCAATTGAAGGTTTCATTGCGAGGCAAATAAATTTTCATCGACAAGAGCAATTGGCTATTGTGGTTCACAGACGCGTGGGCAATTGTTATTAACTATAAATAGATGAAGACTTTATGTGTATAACGAGGTATGTAATATGGAGAAATATTACGGTCTCGTTAGAGAACCATTATAAAAATCAACTATTCTCGACGATTACGCGATGATCTATCGATTAAAAATCATGACGGAACAGTGGATTTCGTGAAATGATGTAATTAATGTTGGTATAAATAAATTACGAATTCTTAGTTTTGGAAAGTGAATAGTCCCTTTTCTATATTTGTTTTAGTTTGTCTCACTGCTCATGGAAATGGCCATTTCCCACATTTTACGGCCTATTCATATTGTTGTCCCGGGGCCCTTTTGTTGCACATAGCCCATTTGTTGTTTACTTGGGATCTCGGCCCATCATATAATTGGCCAATTTACAAAATGGCCTATTTACAAATACGCTGATCCCCCTCTCTCATCCGCTAGTTATTGAAATATTTATAACAAACTAAATCAAAGATATTCTCTCAGTAAACACCATCTCTTTAGCTGCACGTAAATATGTACAATATATATATATATAAAAGATATACTGCTGGATAGGAATACGTACAATATATGTACAAAACATGTACTGTTTTTATATGTTTATATGGATAGGAAAATGTACTATATATATGTATATATATATATATACACACACACAAAACTGTGATGCTGACATTTTACATAGTCAATTTCGAAAACAACAACTCTTATACAATTTTTTTCATGAAATTGAAATCAAACATTGGTGATTGGGAGGGATTGTGCATCGTTTCTTATGGACATAAAAGCATAAAAAATGGCGTAAACAAGCTAACAATACGTATAAATAAAAGTGATCTATTTTGTATGTTATTTGAAGATTTTGTCCCAAAAAAAATAAAAAAAATAAATAAATAACAGGAACATGATAAAATTAGCATTATATGACATGGGACTATGGGAGTAATTAGTTGGCTGATTTCTATAATTACTGTGATGCTGAATAAGAATGTGTACAATATATATACAAAACTATGGGAGGGTTTTTATGGATGTCGTCGGAAGTTTTTTGAGCAGGCTTTTCTTCACCACCTTTTTTACATGACTTTTCTTGAAATCACTGAAAATCGATTTGTTGTTGAATTCAAGCTTTTTCTGGAAGAATTTTCGATCAATAGTCGACTTTATTCCCCGGAGCCGAGAACTGGACCTCAACTTTGATGGGTTGTCGTTTTCACGGGGTGAACTGTTGTCGACAATGAGGGTGGTGTCGACGTCGACATTGTTTGTTGAGTTTCTTAAAAGGGTTTAAAAAAAAGTATTGAAGAAACATTGAATGGAGATGAAGATGGAAAAGTAAAGTAGTACTAATGATGGAGGTGACCTGAGTACAAGCAATTCTGAAAAGGGGGTTAGTGGGTGATTGGAGATTACAATCCAAAAAAATCAGCAACACTTACCATTCAAAAAAACCACCTTATTAAGTCATGTGTAGATACAGTGGGGAAATAAATGGGTGAGAATCTCGTAATGGTGCAAATATTTTTGCCAGAATTAAATTGCTTGCAAATAAAATATTTTATTAGTATATGTGCAATATTTCTTGCAATTGTTAGTTCATAGGGTAATTTTCTCTTACAAAATCATAAGTATTTGAATATAAAATGAGTTATATAGAATAGTTAAATATACTAGTAAAAATATTAGTATATTTAAGAATAGACTTTTGATTCTTTACAATGTCTTGTTTAACTCTTCATGTTTCTCTTTGCCATAAAATAGCTAGCCTTTTTGCAAATATTTGGTGGAGCAATAGTGAGGATCAATTTGCAGGTATCCACTAGAAAGCTTGGCAGTTTCTCGCTCTTCCAAAAGGCTGTGGTGGAATGGGGTTTAATGATCTCAAACTGTTCAATGAATCACTTGTACCCAAACAAGTTTGGAGAATTGCAACAAAACTCGATCTGGTGGTCATTAAATTTCTTAAAGGCAAGTACTTCTCCTCTGATAACATCTTCACTGCTCTGAAAAGTCAGAGCTCCTCTTGGTTGTAGATTACTTGAATGATAGTTAAGAATATATAGCAGTTGTAATGCCTGGAATATCTTTAGTAATTATAAGCTCGACTTTTATTCCATAAATAACGAATTTTATTTATTTCAAGCCTTATTTTATTTAATAATTGATGCATTTAATACTATTTATATTAAATTGATTTATAAAAATTCTAAGTCTAAGCCATGGATGATCCGTTCGATTTTTAATTTTTAAAAATTGAATTATTCCAACCTAAGTATCAGTTTCATTTTAAATTGAAACCGAGCGTTAAAAAAATCGAGAATTTAATTAATTCCCGAGGCGAGCCCGGGCCCGCTATCAAGGCTCAATGGTCGTGTCCCATTTTTCCCGAACTACTTTTTCCGGCCCAATTGCCGAGCCATTAGGTCAGCCTAAGTCCAATTTCATTTCATTTATGCCATATAAGACCAAGGCCCCGTTTGGAAGATAGCGGATTGAGGATAAATTAGCGGATTGGAC